ACAATGAGGTATCTGTAAATAGCAAAGTGCTGATACAGGTGATACAAACAAATACAAATACATAGCTGTGTATAAATATGTACATGCATCCACACAAATAGGCACGTGCATGAATATATCCATATACACACATGCTCTGTGCACATATGCACAAAACACATATATACATATACAGACACTTATCACTGGGACCTTATAGAAATGGCATCCTAAAAAACCTTTTTTGTAAAGTGGATACAGATGTAGATGATCGTATCTCAACAGGAAGTACATTCCAGAGTTTGGGAGTCCTGACAGCAGAAGCCTGATCCCCTCTAGGTGCACAATTTGTCCGTCCTGTTTGTCTGTTGCAAACAGCAGGAAGAGCTGACTGGATGATCTCAGCACGGTCAGGCTCACAGGGTGTTCAGAGATCTGTTATATACTCAGCAGTTTGTCCAAGTCTGCTTTGAAAGTGAGTGATAAAATTAAAATTAGTGATAAAGTAGTTTTTTACAATGTAATGTGGCAGAAGGCTCATATATTTATATTTTTTACACACTTAACATACTCAGAATATTACATATATTTTATATTTAAATATCTTACATACTGGTGTGAAGATTAAAGCATAATGCACATTATATTATTTTCTATGTTTTATTCTTGCTATAATTCTTCATACCTAGTTAGTCAGGGTTAACTGAAGAACTGCATATATACTTTATTATTATCATTGCTACTGCTTCTCCCTCCACATTTTCTAACATAGAAACTTCATTCAAACATCAAAATATTCAGCTCAGTTAGGACATACATGTTTGTGTCAATCATATCCTTCAGACTTTCCAAAATATTAACAGTTTTCTGGGAAATTGTCCTCATTCAAATGAACTGATGAATGTTCAAATCTGACACAAAGTCAAGGTTTTTCAAGCATTTTCAGAGCCTATGTCTTCATTCATACATTCATGTAGAAACTTCATTCAAACTTTAAAATGTTCCCCATCTTTCATACATTCTGGCATGTATTCAACTTTAAAATCCTTTTCAAACTTCTTGAAATATTCAGTCATGTTTGGAGCTTGGTAAAAAAAAAAATGTCCTTCTCAGGTTTTTACATTAGATTGTATTGGAGGGAATGTTCAGAGCTACAGTGGGGGACAAACTCCACTAACTGACACCATCGAACTCAATGTTAACAGAGATCAGAAAAAATATTCCACATCATTAATATATTAGTTGTATTATTTAATGTTTAAAGTCAGTATTGCAGTGTAGCATCAGCTTTTCAGCGTGCAGCATTCACAGCCACAATTTCTCCAGAAACTGTGTTTTCTAGTTTCACAGTTAATATTAGTAAGTGTGATGTGCACGGACACCAGTACAGTTAACATTTTGAGTTTCCTAACAGTTCAGCTCATAAAGTGCTGCTGAAGTGTTTTAAGCACATGGAGCTAACTGTTTTCAGACCAGTGTTTCAGGACTGGTAAATTTAAGTGTCATGTGTTCATGAGGAAGAGAGTATTTTAATCCATCTGCTCAGAGGTTTGGTGGTTCGGTGAGCGGTGCAGAGAAAACTGAGAGACTGAGAGAAGAGATCCTTTGGTGTCGAGGAGGTGACTCCAACAGGACAAGAAGCCTCAAGGACAGAGGAGGAGAGGGTTCAAGGAAAGGAGAAAGGCCTTTAAAGAAGAAGAGAAAGATCTTCCTCCGAGGACTGAGATGTCGATAATGAGGATGGAGTTTCACATAAGAACTCATCATGAAGGAGTCGCTTCAGAAAGAGCTGCGAGGCATTTCAAATCAAGAGGAGAGAGGCTGCGGGCAGGATCGAGCCTCATGAGGAAGAGTCAGTGAAGGAGGAGGAGGAGGAGGAGGACAGTTCACACACAGGAAATGAGAATAAAAGTTGAAACTGGGAGTCTGAGAGACAGAAACTGGACTCAACAGGTCCGACTGTGAAACCCTGAGATGCAGAAAGTCTGAGCTGAGTTTGGACATGTGTGCGTGTTTTAAAGGAGTATTCCACCAATTTAAATTAAAAAAAGGATCAAAATCAATGCATCAGAATAAGAGATTTTTTTTTATTGTTCTGTATAACTTCCTGGACTGTGAGCACAGGTCCCACTAGAGGACGTGGGGCCCTCATGCCACCCTCATGGAGTCTGTTTCTGACAGAATGGTCAGAAACATGCACACCAGTAGCCTGCTGGAGGTCATGTTGTAGGGCTCTGGCAGTGCTCCTCCTGTTCCTCCTCACACAAAGGAGCAGATAAAGGTCCTGCTGCTGGGTTGATGCCCTTCTACGGCCCTGTGCAGCTCTCCTGGTGTAACGGCCATCTCCTGGTGTGGCTGCTCCATCCCCCTGCGTCCCCCCTACGTCATGCTAGTCGTGGCTATCACAGCTTGGAGCCTGCAGCAGAGATGGGCAGTGGGCTGCAGAGGTCTCACTTCTTTCTGACTCCACACCTCTAGATTTTTTATTACATTTTCAGACTCCTCCTCAGACCTGACTGACGCTGACTCAAGTGACTCGAGGAAATTAACCAGACTTCACAGAGCTCTGTCTGGAGACACAAAGGCCTCATACAACATGTTCACACATGCAGTCGTACTCTCCAAATCCTCCAAACACACCCTGATCTGTCAAATCATTCAAAACTTGTTACACACTTGGACCAGACGATCAGGTCCGACTCCAGCAGAATTAATCAGCAGAAATGTGTCCGTGCTGCAGAGGGACTGTGGACTGTCACCTCACATCACCTGTGGGCTGTTATAACTGCAGCAGCAGTCGTCATCATGTTCCTGTGCTGCCTCGGGCTTTAATTTAAAACTTCCCAACCGTATAACAAACTCTTTCTGCTGTCACACATCCTGACATTAAATGTCACAGCTGTCACACCAGCAGAGGGAAGTAATTAATTGGTCGTCTTTTCACTGATGTCGTTTTTGTCGGGGCCACGTTGGAAATGTTTCCATTGGTTTGCTGTTTTTAGATAAATCTATAAATAAACCAAATCTGAATTATGAGCTTATGAGAAACAGTGACACAAGCGTCTCAGTCAGTGATGAAGTATTTTGGGATTTATTCAATTAAAAATTAAAAAGATGTTTGAAAAGATTCAATGACAAAATAAACAAATGACTAAATACTGAACAACCTACAATCACTGACATACTCCCACAACTATTAATACAAACATGTATCTTACACTCGAAGAAATGACTTAATTTATTTTGTCAGGTTTATATATTTTGATTACAAATAAAATTTTCATCCATCCATTTTCAATTGTGTATCCGGGGCCGGGTCTCGGGGGCAGCAGGCTGAGCAAAGCACCCCAGACGTCCGTCTCCTCAGCAACACTCTCCAGCTCCTCCTGGAGGACCCCGAGGTGTTCCCAGGCCAGATGAGATCTATAATCCCTCCAGTGTGTTCTGGGTCTGCCCCGGGGCCTCCTACCAGCTGGACCAGGAGGATCCTGATCAGATAATGAACCAACTCAACATGAAGGAGCAACGGCTCTACTCCGAGCTCCCTCCAGATGTCTGACTCCTCCCCCTATCTCTAAGGCTGAGCCCAGACACCCTACAGAGGAAACTCATTTCAGATGCTTGTATCGGTTGGGACGTAGATGGACCAGGAAATCATTCAGGAGTGATGGTGGAACAGAATAAAAGTTTCCATCCAACAAAAATTAAAATTTTGACTTTAATTAATAAATTGGGTAGATTCTATGAGCTGTAGTTACATAACTTCACCTTATTCATCTCAGATGATGCGTTTTAAATTCAGGTTAGAATTACTCAACTCTATTGGAACAGAAATTTTACAGGTGATTCAAATATGTAAATCTGACCAGACTTAATCAATTTAGTTTATTCAAACTGGAAATAAAACACATGAGATACAAGGCATTTCAAAATCAAATGAAAATACAGAAAATGCATCGTGATAACTGCTGCTAGGTTTATATTTAGTTTAAAGTGTTTAAACATCTAAATTCTACGTGATTTTCTCAGCTGATCAAATCTTACTATATAATGACGAAAGCTCTGTGTGTGTGTGTGTGTGTGTGTGTGTGTTCCATGTTTTTCTCCTCACTGACTTGGTCAATCCATGTGAAATTTGGCACAGTGGTAGAGGGTCATGGGAGGATGCCAATGAAGCAATATTACATCAATTGGCCAAAGGGGGGCGCTATAGCAACCCATTGAAATGTCAAACTTTGAATGGGCATATCTCATGCCCCGTATGTGGTAGAGACATGAAACTTTGCACAGAGATGCCTCTCCTCATGAGGAACACATTTGCCTCAAGAACCCATAACTTCCGCTTATATAGATTTACCACCATTTTGAATTTGTTGAAAAACACTTCAAATGGATCTCTTCCTAGGAAGTTTGAGCGATCTGCATGAAACTGGGTGAACATAATCTAGGGACCAATATCTAAAGTTCCCTCTTGGCAAAAGTTGGAAAACTTACTAAAACTGAGCTTCTATAAGGCAATGAATATTGAGGAGGGCGTGGCTCATCACATAAAGGTGTATAACATCTCAAGGGTTTCACCCATCACCACGCAACTTTGTAGGCATATGACCACACATAATCTGAGGGGACCCCTCCATTATTGACCCCATCAAACAAAATGGGGGCGCTAGAGAGCTCATTTCTTATCTAGGCCTAACCGCCATATGGATTTTTACTAAACTTGGTAGATATGTAGAACAGGACGCCTCAAGGTGACTGGAGAAATTTAACTCAAATTGGCAACTGGGTGGCGCTATAACAACAGAAAAATGCTTCAAAATGGCTAAAATGCGACCGATCGCTGTGGCTCCCCCTGTGGACCAATGTTGGTGTTGTTTTCTAATGTTTGGTATGACTAAGTCATGGTATGGTATGCTGTACATAATCACGGAAACTGTCAGTGTGTCATTCTGTCAGTCAGTCATTCTGTCTGTCCCACGTTTTTCTACTCACTGACGTGGTCAATCTATGTGAAACTGCACATAGGCATTGAGGACTGGCATAGGTAGAAGGTGACAAAGCTACCAATGGCTATGGACTAGTGTTCTTATAAAAGGGAATTATCTGTAATACTTAATTCATTACTGTCTTAATTAACCCAGCTGATCGGACGCGCTGAGTCTTTTTATTTCTTCATGTAATCAGGGAGGAATTTCTTCCAATTCATATTCTGCAAACAGAAAAAAAGAAGAGATGTTAAATTATATATTTCTGCTCTGAATAACTTCGACAGCTCTGATTATTTTCTCTGGCTTACATTTTTGCCCCAGGTGGATTTGGACTTCTTGGTCTTGACGTCCTCCAGAGACTCGTACATGTTGCCCTGGTCGGCGGAGGCCTCCCCGGGGATCTGCTCGTAGGTGTTATCGTGCAGCCCAGCAGGACTCGGCCCCTGGGGGACCTCAGCGTACATGGCGTCTCCCTGCTGAGCCGACTGAGCTGAACTCCCTGCGGGCCCCTCAGAAGTCTGGTACAGCGGGTTGGACCGGGACATTTCCACATCACCACCCTGCTGCTGCGACCTGGAGCTGCTCGGCTTCTGACTGTCTCTGGGGTCGTGGAGGGAGTAGGTGTGGCAGGTGACCTTCTTCAGCGCAGTGGGTGAGTAAGATGATGATGTTGAGAAGGAGGGACTGCTGAGCTGGTTGGAGTACTCCGTCTCCTCCTCCATGCTGCTGTTGTTGAGTCGTGGCAGAGATCTGCTCCTGCTCTCCACCTGTGTCAGCTCAGAGTAGGTGGTCCCTGTCGGACAGAGGTCACCTGGATAACTGGTGTCAGCGATGTGAAAAGAGTCAGACGTTAGTGCTGAGTTTGTGTTTTCTCTGAGTCTCTCTGATCTGTTCTCGTCAGTCTGGGTTTCACTCGGATGTGATGTGGTTTCGGGCAGAGATCCGCTGAGGGAGAAGCCCAGAGGGATGCCTCTCTTTGGTACAGGAGGAACTCCCTGAAAGACACAATGATGGGACGTTATCAGTCTGGTATCCCATGATGCTCCTCAGCAGATGGAGCACTGTCTCATCACTTTAAATTATTGTGAACAACCAAAACCAGCAACGCCTAACACTGTCTGACCTCCCTCCTCGCTTGTTCTCAGCTCCAGGCTCATTGGCTAATTGGATGTCAGTGGTTAACTGTTGGTTGTTAACCACCAAGAATATTTTTGACCATTTACATGTCCGTCTACAGGTTAATTTTACTACGCTTCAGTTTAGTATTAGTCACTAACACTAAGCTGTACCTCAGCTAGTAAGGTATTAATGCTACACTGGTGAGCTAACTGCCACCGCTCTATATCGGGTACCACCTGGGTCAGGTGGCAGCTAGCTGGCATTAGCGTTCATTCAGTGATTACCAAATGTAATGCAGTCTCAAACCATGGTGGCATTGCTGTGGCAACATTTTGCCCACCCTCCAGTGTCCCTCCAGGCCCCCAGGAAGTGCCCCGGGCTTTGAAGCCAATTGTCGCATTTGCCAAACAGTGTTATTATACCACCTGACGCCCTGCAGCCCACAAAGACTTTTTTTCCATTGACTTACATGGTGAAAGACACATCTGTAAATCAGTGGACACATTTTTCTGAGGTCATCCTGGTGAGTGAGCGGCTTAATTTTGAGCCACAAAACCTATTTAGCATCGTTTACCACTGTTAGCTTTGTTAGCACCATTACTGACATCAGCACAGCTACTGGTGTTAACATAGTTATCAATGATAACTTGCAGCTCAAAAATAAAGCACTAACCCACTGGGGTGACCTGAGGTGAGACTGGAGGGTGGGTGTTTTCACATATGTTATTGCAGCTAGAAAATAAAATAAAAGGCAAGAGACAACACAATAAAAAATTTCCCACAACTGAAATCCCTGAAGGCATAAATCTTTTAAATTTTTTGGAAAAAAACAACATGTTATGAATATATTCTTAAAAAGCTGGGCACAGCACTTTTTACTAAATGTCACTCAAACAGGAAATAGTAACTTAATCAGAGACTACTTTCAGCAGTGGATTAATCCACAGTATGTGTCAGCAGGACGGTGTGTGTGGGACTGAGCCAAAATAAACTACATTGTGTGTGTTCATGGTGATGAAACAAAATGACATTTTCAGGACAAAAAAAAAATATAGCATATCACCAAACCTCTCATATAGCTTAAAGACTCCTCGTCTATGTTGGTTTAGTTGTGTTAGTGTAAGTAGTGTAAGTAGTTGGGTTGGCCAACATGGATGAAAAGTCCATGAGAGGAAAAAAATGGAAAGTTGAACATCTTCAATTCTGTAAAAGCTGAGTAAACTGTTATCTGCAAAGAAGAACAAGTAATACGATCAAAAGCACCAGAGCAGCTACTCAATGGACCCTGTGGTGAGACAATTCTGTCATCAGCTCTCAAGGTACCAGACAGGATCAGTAATTAAATACATTTTAAATACAGCACTTGGACTGTTCTGAATAACTGTATCCTACTTCATACTTTTACTTCAGTACAGAGAAGCTTTGATGACAAGAGACACAGAGGGGGCGTGGCTTGATGAGTTAAAATTACGGTCCGGAACCACGGAAACATTGTAATTTGGAAACTCAATTAGGATCCTTTGCTGTGGCGGACACACAAATTCCCTGGTTCAATGGCATCACACAATGTGAGGTGGTTACTGTTACGACCCCGTACGTAGCATAAAGAGCAAGAAAGTGCATGTAGGAGGAGGTCAGGCTGGGCGGAGGGGTCAAACAAACACAGGACTTTCACCCAGGAGACTGCTGGTCATGTGAAATGTGAAACAAAAAGTCATTGTTGACGTCTTTAAACTTTACGTAGATACGTCAAGTTATGTGACATAATTACATCACTTTACGGTGTATTTACATCCCATACGTAACAAAATTAGTTATTTTAAAGACAGCACATCTTTTTCTAACTCTAACCAAGAAGTTCTGGTGCCTAAACCCAAACATGCCACCACCATATAACAGGTGATCAGAGGTCATGGTCATTTCACGTGTGATCATGTTGTTGTCTGCTCAGGACGCCATTACTCCGCTATATCTTTACATAGCAAACAGTTGCTGCTCTGAAGTCATACAGAGGTTGATGCTAAACTTTTGTATGCAGGACTTTTACTTGTAACAATGTGTGGTATTCCTGCTTTTACTAAAGCCGATGTAGGCTACTTCTTCCACCACTGTAAAGGTGTCAGACACATTGGACCTGAATAAAACCTTTTGATGAAGTACAGAACTCAGAACTATTTTGCATGCAGCACACTTGTCCAACAAACCAACAACACAATCTGTTGAAATTTCCGTCATACATACCTGTGAGAGAGACACTGTGTCTACAGACACGGCTCCTGTCAGCTTTCTGCTATTAGTTTTAGGTGGCAGTGCAGGGGGCAGCGTTGTAGGAGGCTGCGCTGCAGGAGGAGGCTGCGCTGCAGGAGGAGGCTGCGCTGCAGGAGGAGGCTGTGCTGCAGGAGGATCACTCTGCAGCTGAACCCTCTGATTACTGCCAGGGTCGCTGTGAAGATCATTTTTGTGGTCCCACAGAGTCCGCAGAGCTTGGACACTCACTCCAGACGTCTTGTTATAATTCACCACATCATACAGCTCACCTGTGTCTTCCTGAAAATACCAACCAGCGTTACTGTCATCAGTAAGGAAGACATGAAAATGATGCAGGCACCAGTCAAACTAAACCCACAGTTATAGCCTTTCAGAAACAGATGCACCAACTGGCCAAACAGTGCGTTGATTTTTACTGTGTGATTCAGCCCGTTATGATTAAAACCAACTGTTGTTAAAATTACTGACTTGTTTTATATCAGAGGTGATAACATTTTATACTAACGCAATCAAACACTGAGCTGCAGGCAGTCGAGCAAAAAAGCAGTACAACAGTAAATGATTCGGCACACGGAGGGATGGACCAGTACCTCTTTAATTTCATGGTCACAGCTTAAAAACATTTTTTTCAAAGGTTCCTTTTGCAGCATCATCTCTGGTCTTTGTTTCAAGAGTCTACAGCCATGCTAACAGACTCTGGCTAACCTCACATCAGCCTGGGAGTGTTCTGGCCAGTCTCGCCTTACTGTGCTGTGATTGGGTAATAACATCGACATGTAGAGGTCAGAGCAGGCCCCCACAAAGTGCTCTGGACTTGGAAGCCAATTTTCATAATGGTACAAACAGTGGAATTACAACTGCTGAGTCTGTCCAATGATGCTGTTGGGTCCAAAAAGACCTTTCCCATTGGCTTACATTGGCTCAGTAGATACATTTTTTAAGCATCACTACTTCTACGAAATGACTCATTTCATTATCAGGATTAGATCCATTCGGGTTGATAAAATTTGGAAAGACTAGAAGCGCCACACGATTAAATGATTTTATCCCCATTCAAGTTAGCAGAGAGCTAAACAGGAAGTAGCCAGCTCAGCCAGCGGAAGTCTCTAGTACGCCTGTTCTATGGACCCAGTCAGCAGTGTAGTGGAGGGTTTACACAGGTGCACAGAGTTTACACACGTCCTTTCCTGTCCGTTTACAGTAATATATAGTTGAGTATATCCACTAGTAGTAGAGCTTTTTTGGCTCCATGCACCACTGAGCAGCTTTCATGGGAATGAACGGGGTCCCGCCTCCAACGCTTTATCCAGGTCTCTAAATACGTCTATGGATTGAAGGCGTTTAGGGTTAAGGCAAAGAGGTCATGGTCAGGGCTAGAGCTAGCCAATCACAGCAACGTCAGTGTGTAACGTCGCTGGACGCCATTAGTTTGAAACGCTGCTAGACAGCGTCAGTTTAAAGCACCCCTGCTAACAATGCAACATAAGAAACTGGAAAGTCCCAGTGGGGCAGATGGCACTTTGACCCGGGTGTCTGGTGTTCACTCCACGCATGGATATAGGGCCAAACCATGATGTTTTTGTCTAAATCTAATCACGTGCTTTTGTTGCACAAGGAAATAAACGTAAAAACGAGGTGTCTTACCACCGCTGTAAGATCATTTACAAAAAGACATCATGTCTCTAAAGAACAGACACTTTACATTTCCTGTGAAAACAGAAGCGTATTCCACAGAAACTCTGGGAACCACTATAAAGTCATTAGGATTCACCCTGAAGGGACCACGACCGTCATCGCTAATCAGTCAAACAGTTGTTCTAATTTCAGCCTGAACAAGAGTGGTGCATTTAAAGTTTAACACTCTCCTGTACTGTAACTGTACTCCTTTAGTTAAACACATTATAACTTAGTGCTCCTCACCTCATAACAGCTGGAGGTCAGGTATTCTCCAAAGGGCTGGATGGGGCTGACTTTGTAATGTTCTATCAGCTCAGTGAGACTGCCGTGCGTCTGACAGTCTCCTGATATGACAAACTGTCCATCCTGATTCTGGGTGATGACAAAATGGCGGCACCTGTCGTGGCCCCTGTGGAGGAAGAGCACGGTCAGTGAGATGAATCAGAGAGGCAGTAAAGGAGCAACAGAACAACGCTGGACAGACTTGATTCGCCTCACTTGTAGGACAGGATGTAGCCGATGGCTTTGTCACTGAGGCGGATGAGAAAACAGCCCAGAGCTTTATCTCTCAGCAGATCTTCCGTGTCCCTGAGGCGGAGAGTGAGACAGAGCCAATTGAACAGTCACAGGCAAATTAGGTTTAAAAATAACGCTGCCGTGTCATAAAACCTCTGTTTCCTCTGAGTGATGTGCATGAGAGTAAATAAAAGACATACAAGCTGGACAAGGACCTGATGATGATGATACATCCATTCCTGTTGCACCCAGAGTCATCAATCCTGTCAGATACACTGATTATTAACCCTGTAACCTGCTGTTACATCTGGAAGCAAGTCCATTATCTTATGTTTCTTTCCTTAAAGCAAGACTACTTTCAACTTTCTGAAATAAGTGAGTTAAGAAATAAAACACATCCTACCTCAGGTCTGTACTCTCTGAGGTCTTACAACTACAGACTGGTGAATGTTAGCAAACTGTACTCAGAAATGAGTGTTTTAACTCTGCTTTGCAAAAAGGTTTCTTTAAGAGTTCTTTATAAGACTAAGGGTTTCATTCAGACCTTTTTCCATCCAAAGAACCCCTTTTGAAAGAAAGACCTCCTAAAGGATTGCTGATGCTTTAAACAATCCTTCAGGAAGTCTTTCTGGTGTTAGAAGATCTTCACCCTCAAAAATTCAAATAGTTTAAAATGAAGATCTGTCTGGGTGTGATCTAGATCAAACACTTGGAATATAATACGGTTCTTGGTAGAACTCCTGGGTGGGACCCTTATAGTACCCAGACTTGAAGCGAATGCAAAGTGAGTGTTTTGTGTAGTTACATATGAAGTCAATGCAAAGATGTGAGTAGACACAAATTTGCACCTGGTGACGCAAAATTTGTGCCAATTACATATTTGCGTGAGTTGAATTTTTTTTAACTTGAGTAAGAAATTCATGTGACACTGTGTCGCTGATCAGCGTTGAGATCTAGCTATCTGGTTTTGCCGACATTAGCGCGAATCAGAACTGGAGGCCAAACAAGGTCGACGCCTGGAGCTCTACGACTCATCGTCAGTGCAGAGAGAGAACAAATAAAGACTTATAAGGCTTGGAGATCAGTGAGTCACAGTTTTCAACATTCTAAATGCAAATTTAGTTGAATTCAGTACTACAGTTTTGTCACCAAGGAGACATCTCGACAAAGTGGGCAGTTCACATTCATTTACCAATATAAACCAGAATGTAAGGGCCGTTTCATAGTCAATGCAAAGGCACGCAGACACAAACGCATTGGGACGCATCGAGATGCATTGGCCGCCATGATGCGTGAAAATGAAATATGGCAGGCGAGGAGGAAAAACTTTGCAAACTTGTATGGGCACACCCCCATTTATATGACAGTACAGGACAGCACTCTAATAAAATAGCAGTACAAGCTAGCCGGAATGTACAGATGTATCTGCTACCCCCTATTGCGCGAGCGATGTATTGGATTTCAAGTGTCGCCCGCGTCGCTCATAGTCAATGAGTTGACTACGAAAGGAAGTGTGTTGCTCACGTCGCTTGCTCGCGTTGCGTGCGTCGACTATGAAACAGCCCTAAGAGATTCCCATAATGCATGCATATATGTGCTACGTTCTTTTCTGCATTTCCAACATGGATCATCTTTAAGTAGGTCTGTTCAGTTGAGTCTCATTGGAGTGTAATAATATCTGTGAATTATTTCATATTGAATAAATTTGCCTCCTAAAGTGGTTGTTTTTTACAGAGACATTGCTGCTGTCCCGCCCGGATTGCTGTGCCCCAAAGCTGGGTATTTTAAGCCAAAACATGATCTTCTCCATGTGTTTTTTGTTTTTTTTTTTTGCCTAAATCTAATCACACTTTAACCACAGCATTGTTGAAACGTAAACTTTCTCCATAATTATATACAAATGTAACATGTCTGTGGTTTGCAGAATTATATGATGCCAACATTTATTACAGCGACTGGGTTAAGCAGCAAAATGTGATTTAAAAAATACTCTATTACAGTAAAAGTCCTGAACTGAAAATTCAAATAAGCAAAAGTATTATCAACCAAAAGTACTCTGTGAGTTTTATAATACTTTATAATAGATTATTGGATGATTACGTCTGATGTATTAATGTGCAAGCAGTGTTTTACTGTTGTGGTCGAGGTGGAGCTACCTCTAACTAGTTTATATCCTGCTGGGTAGTTTAATCTATAACAATGAGTTATATGCTGTAGTGTAATAAAAGTGACTTATGCTGTCAAGTAAATTTAGTGCAGAAAAAGTACAATACTTCCCTCTGAATTGAGTAAAGTTGTATGAAATAGAAATACTCAGATTTTCCCTTATATTTGTTGTTGAATAAATGCACATGTTAGATTCCACCTCAGTGTTACTGTTCTGTAGCTACAGCCTGAAACTAACAGATAAACAAACGTGAAGAACAGAATGATCGACGGTAAGCTGCAGAAATCTATTCAGATGAAGTCAAATACAAAGTCACAACCTGTCAGAGCCACCAGAGTCGAAACAAGTGTAACGTCTGCTGTGCATCAGTGTATCTAAACTTCTCTTTTCTCGGTCACCACAGTGGTTGAACTCTGTTCTTACTTTCTTGCAGCGAAGCCTTGAAACCAGTCAGGGAAGTTTCCATTGTTGACGATGAGCGGCGCCTGAGTCTCAGTGAACCACCTCAGCACCAGCTCCTTCAGGCCTCCCTCTGATGGATCCATGTGAAGATCAACAGCCGACATCTTCTCCGTCCTCGCAGGTGTGTCAGGAGCTGACAGAGCTCAGTGTGCATGCTCTCTGCTTAGACGCCTCTCTAGAGGAAGACGAGGTGCCTCATTTGACTGTTTCTGTTGGGCTGAATGGTTGTATTGTTTCAGTCTATCTAATGACTCTCATTGGGCCGCCAGTTTCATTTCACTATCTGTCTTCCTGCTCCCAGATTGAACTTTAACAGCTCAGTAACATGGTACTTTTTTATTTTGTTTGTTTTATTTTGTTTGCTGAACTAGTTTTTCCACTGCTAGACTGTGTGGGAAGTGCCGGAGCTGATGATAGGATCAGGAACGTGAGCATGTATTTGCGTGTGCAAAAATCTGATCTCACAGTGTCATAAGCTCACTCAGCCCTTCCCAACAACGTCAACTATTCAAATTTACAGTGGCGTCCATTCAGACATCTGGAGCCACATTAATTCTGCAGGTATATTGGTCATAAACCAGAGTCTCAGCAACATGTTGACCTGATGAACCAAATCCCACAGCAGTCCATCCACTTTTTCATCAAGACAGTAAAATGCCAAGTATTAACCTCATGGTGGGTCTAGTTAAACAGTCAGAGGATCGTCACTTGGCATAGGATTCATCCTCTGGGGAACACAAATCACTGTAGCAGATTTCATGATAATCTATCCTCTAGTTCCAGAGATATTTCACTCTGGATCAAGGGGTGAAAAGTGAAACCTTTGCTCGGCTGCCTCAAACCTGTATTCTTGCTAATGGCCAGCAGGTGGCGACTCCAGACTAATTGAATAGAGGTCAATGAGAAAATGAGCCAACTTCTCAGTAAACATTTTTCCTCGTGAGTTTCGGCAAGTGCTTGGCAAAGGCCAAAATACCAAACTCTAGGCTTTGAAAAGGGAGTCCACAAATCCATTGGAAAGTGACCCAGTGACTACGCCCGCTGTTTTCGCTACTTAGCTTGGCTTGTTAGCATGCTAACATTTGCCAATTATCAGTAAAAACAGAATCCAGCGGAGGCTGATGCGACTGTCTTTAGTTCTGCAGGTATTTGGTCATAAACCAAAGTATCGGACACATTATTATGACCTGATGATGGCGCTAGATGAACAGTCAGAGGATCATCAGAATCAGGATTCATCCCCGAGGGAACGTGAATATCTGCAACAAACTTTATGACAATCTATCCACTAGTTGTTGAGATATTTCAGTTTGGATCAAGAGGTTATCTTCAGGTCTGGAAAGTGATGTTAATGCTGAAGTGCCTTTAGCCTGCATTCTTTCTAATGGCCAGCGGTGGCCGACTCCAATAAGACTGTATTTCAGTGACAAACTGAGCCAACTTCTCCCTCAGTAAACATTTTCCTTCTGAGTTTATGGTCTCACTCACTAGTTTCAAGTGTTCTTCAACACAACTTGATGATCAGTCTGTAAATGAAGGTCCCATTACAGTAAAATAGACCATACAGCAGGGCGTGGCTCGATGCTCTCAGCGTCTCTCTCTCAAGATCTAAGTCAGTTCTCAGACCGCTCCACCCTTCATCTAAATATGGTCGCAGCAGCAGTTCAGCAGGACTAAACAGCACCACCTACAGGCTACAACTGTCATTACACCCCACAATACAAAGGTCTTATTGGCTGAAGGAGGCGTTTCATCAACATCAGTGTTTTTGTGTTATTTGTTTTGTTGTTGTGTTCAGAAAATTCAGTTACAGTCTGCACATTAGATTTTTAATGGACCCATTTGTTTGTAGAAAATGGTTGGCCAGATGGTGGCGCTATAGAGGAGAGGTCAGGTGGGACAGGAAAACTGTTTTTATGCTCATTATATTATAAAAGTTAATTTGTTCTTGATTGGGTCAGAAGAACTTGTAACCAAGAGGATATATTAGAATTATATGAAGAATTTAACTTTTATATTGATGATATTTTTATTGATCCGATTTTACGTTTAGCCTTTGAGGTACTATATGAAGGGGACATTATTCAGGGAGTCAAATCAAATCAAATCAACTTTATTTATATGGCACTTTTCATACGACAGTAACACAAATTGCCTCACAGAGGTTAAAAACAAATAAATAAATAAAATTAGATTTATTAAAATCAATGAAGAGGGTAAATGTTAGATAAAAATTAAATTAATTAAATCAAAAATACAAATACCCAATTAATCAGCCTAGTTTGAATGTAAAAAGTAATTTTTAAAAATATTTTTTTTCATGGTGTCGCATAGTGTTAAAACGCGCGAGACAACAGGAGTCACAGTTTCACGCGCGAGCTGAACAGATGGCCGAGGTGAGAGGCAGAGCGCGCGCACAGACACGGTGACGCCAAACTTCATTTATATTATAGCGAAGTGAAAGTTTACCTGAACATCTGCAGAGCTGCAGACCTGATTTAACACTTCTGAATGTATCTCCGGGGTTTGATCGGATCAGCTTTCGATTCGGCGTTAAATCAAGAACCTTAAATCCACCTTAAAATAAGTTTTAGCAGTATTGTCTCAGGCAGGCAGCAGTGTTAGCAAATAAATAACGACTGTTTGAATTTAATTTAAATGTTCTGCTTTGCTCGGGCCACTGCTGCCATTTAACAGTACATTACTACAGTGAAGTAATAAGCTAAGTTTTTAAGAATAGTCTCACTTTATGTTTAGAGTTAAATTCATCCCCACTTTAAGTTGGTTGTTTTCTGAATGGACTTCCGTGTGACGCTGTCCCGGTGTCAGAGAACGGAATGTGTTGTCGGGACATGGCAGAGTCCTCGTGTCGTGAACAGGAGACTCACACAGGACAGGAGGGGGAGGAGGACACGGTGTCCACAGGCTGCTACTACTCAGAGTTTCAAACACGGTGAGACTTTGTCTGTTCACTGTTTTTAATATCTGTTGTTTAGTTTATTCACAGTGTTAGTTCATGTCAGACAGAGTCCAGTGAGTCGAGCCGTCGGTGAGCGACTGTTCCAACTTTAACCTGCAGTGACACTTTGTATAACAGGAGAGCCATCTTTTAAAAACCTGTCACTCAGTTGTGGAGCTATGGAAACATTTCCCCACATGACAAATGACTGTTTGTTCCTGCAGCTGATGAGAAGTGAAGCAGATGTGAAACATCACTGAGGACAGCAGACATGGATTTATTCAAACTGCAGAAGGTGGAGGATTTCTATGAAATTGGTGAAGAGCTGGGAAGGTAAACACGTGCATGAACTATCTACTCATTTACACCTCAATGGTGAAATTAGGGATGTACAATGTTTGCCGATATCCAGTATGCCGATACATCCTCCTGAGACCCTGCGTCCTCATATGAACACATCACATTTCGGGTTTCCTGCACCTTAGACTTTATTCTACTTAACTCAGACCTGTTGTCCTCGATCAGGGACACGTTTTGTGCCATCTAGTGGCAGTGAGAGCACCGTACAGTAATTCATATAGAAACAAGATGGCAGCCATCTCTGCCAAGTCAGTCTGCAGATGATCCTGAGACAAAAGTGGACAAGGTCCAAAACCTGATCACATGTTATAGTCGAAACTTGTTTATAATTAATAATGTTTGTAGTTTGATATGACAACAACTGCAACTAATTTTAGTAACAGGAGAAATTATAAATGCACACCAAACAAAAGTTAGTCAGCAGGTTATAACAACTTCTTTGACCAATAACTGATAGCAATATATCCACTTTTGTCTCCACCTAATTTTAGTGATCAAGTCTCCTCTGTCGTGAAATCAGCATCATATCATGCATGCAAACTGCTGTAACAGACTGCTCTATAGCATGTGTCCCTCTTGAGTTGCCGTAGGGCAGGGAAAGTTTTAGGGCAACTCCTGCATGTGTGAGAGTTTTGATGTGAAGAAAATAAATGCGCTGTTGGAGCTGTTTCACTGTCTTACATCCCATGAGGTGAACCCAGGGTGCCTGGCTGCATTGGTGGCAGCGGTGCTCTTCATTAAGCCACTCTGTGCTTTTTTTTGTGCACGTGGAGCCGTTATCTGCACTGTTTTTTTAGTGTAGCTGCCTCAGTAAAGCTAACTGGATAACCACACGTGGTGCTTCAAACACTGTGCACAAGTTCATTACGGACATCTGGTACAGAAGACGGTGTATCAGCTCCAACTCATGTAACACATGCACACGTCGCCCTAAAACAGTGGAACGTCACCCCAAAACTTTCTCTGCTCTACGGCAACTCATGAGGGACACACAGTATAGAACAGTCTGTTACACTCTTACTGTGACAGCCCACCAGCAGATGGAGACATGAAATACTGTTCAGTGTATGTAATATTCATTCGGTACTGGTCGATAGCTATGACGATGTTATTGTGCATCCCTAGGTGTAATATTTGCAATGTACTTTAATCAGTAATGGTGGGATGTTTGAATGTGAATCAGAATCCAAATTATCTACCTACGTACCTATCTATCTATCTATCTATCTATCTATCTATCTATCTATCTATCTAGCCCAGTCTCACTCCAAAGTGGCTTAAAACCGGCACTTGGTCACTGACTTCCAGCATCAGACTTGGATGAAAACAGCTGTCCATAACACGCAGCCAGTCGCCTTTATTGTTTAATGGTGCCCAGCGGTGTCAGGGGGGCAACATGGAGGGACAACAGCACAAGTTAAGGGGACAAAAGTCCGAGCAGGGTGTGCAGGAGGCATGGTTAGGCATGGTAATTGAAATACGTTACAGTTACTGAGAAAAAAAAATGTCATTAAATTAGAGTCACTAATCAAAATGTTGGTGATTACAAAGAGGTAACATCCCAATATTTATTTATTTAGAATAAAACATTTGTGGCGTTACTTTCATCTTTTAGCCGTGCAGGAATGACTTCTTTTGGAATCACCTTTTCTCCCGACATTTTTCAGCTTTAAAGGTTCTATATTTGGCTCATTTTCAGGCTCATAATTGTATTTTGGGTTTCTACTCAAACATATTTCCATACTTTAATGTTTAAAAAACATTATTTTTCTCATGCTGTTTGTCTGAGTATACCTGGACACCAGTATTATTGATATACAGGGAACAACTTTGATCAGCATAAAGAAGAACATAACTGTGATGTGTTCATGTAGAGTCTGTGAGAATTATTTGTAGGGTTTTTTTTTTTGGTAATAAAATGCTTCTTAAATTTCAAAATAAATTGACTGTATATGAAAACAGATGTTGCCTCACGTAAGAGCAGCAACAAGTGTGTGTGTCACTGAGCACTTCCTGCTGCTGTAACATTATGTAAATCACTCTGAATCATTAACTGCTCCTGTGATAACTCCGTACTGTATTTTATTCTCCTTGATGTAAAAACAAACTGTGTTGTATTTACAGCCTGGTTTTGTTGCTGTGCGTCGTCAGGAGGAGACGACTGTCACACATGTCCAGCTGCTTTTTAAAGCACTGTTCTATCTTTAGCGGCGGCTATATCTACTCCTGCAGACGAGGAAGTGGAGTGTTAGATTACGAACCATCCAAGTGAAGCAGAACTAAAGAGATGCAGCTGTACACTCATTTCACCCCTGAATTTTAAACACATTAAACCCAGTGTTTTATATGCGGTGTGTGTATGTGTGTGTTTTGAGTGTGTGAACACAGGCTTATCATGCTGTGGCAGAATATGTGAGACACTATAAATAGACTGAAGTGATGGAAAATATGAGGGATAATATAAAATCACAGCCCTGCGGCACATGTCACTGTGGGCTGCATGATATTCATACAGTGAAAATTCCATCATAAACTTTAAGCAAATTTTAATTCAGTTGCTCTGAAAGAGAACTTGACTTCTCCTCCTCCCCGCTCTGTTCTCAGACTTTAGGAAGTCTAACTCATGATGGGAGACTTTGTCCAATCACAGGTCATTTCAGGGAGAGGGCGCTCCTATTGGCTGTTCTACAAATGCAGGTGTGCGTGCACGTCCTGTCAGATGGTGAAAGTCTGATTCAGTGGAGGAGAATCCTGCAGATAAAGTTGATATCGTAGCATTGGCAACATCTGACTACACTGCAGAGCAACCCAAAAAAAAGGAAGACGGACTGATCACAGTGAGTCTGAAAGAGTCCGACAGTAAATGAAATAAAACCTATCAGCGAAGAGTTTCAGACATGTAGAGAAAATGCTGCTAGCCTTCTGCTAACCTGAGCTAAAGGAAAGTGGACAGGACCCCCAGGAGCTGTTGGTGGTGTTGGAGCAAATCCAGCAGGTGGTCGAACCTCTCAGCTGTGAATCACATACTTTTTCTTTCTACTGTTGATAGACACTGCAGCTGTCCTTGAAAAGTACCTACTGTTGCATGCAGTTGGCACACAATCAGGACACACTCCTGCCTCATGACATTAGGCCCTGAACTTTGAACCTCTTGCTCATATATCCGTTACCATGGAGATAAAATAAAATGATGGAGGTCAACCCGGAGAGATCTGCTGTTTTATTTTGCAAAAAGTAATGACTGCAGACACTGTAGGTTCTAACATATTATATTCACAATAGTAACATTACACAGGCTGTACAGTTTGGGGCGGCTGTGGCTCGGAGGAAGAGCGGGTTGTTCACCAGTCAGAAGATCAGGGGTTCAATCCCCAGCTCCTCCAGTCTGCATGTCAAAGCATCCTTGAACAAGATACTGAACCCCAAGTTGCTCATGATGGCTGTTCCATCAGTATGTGAGTGTGTTTAAAAGCTGAGTAGCAGGTGGCACCCTCTATGGTAGCCTCAGCAACCAGTGTGTGACTCTGTGACTGTGACTTGTAGTGTAAAAAGTGAGTGATCAGATGACCAGAAAGACACAACAAAGTGCAGTCCATTCCATTATCATTTACCATTTCTCTGTCATTGTTATTTCAATCAGGAGAGGCAGAAGAATGAAATAAAGATGAAGTTTAATGCAGAATATAAGTGAACAGATTGACAGATGATTTGTGCCGAGTAATATTTCACAAAGTCTTTGGTGCTTTGACACCAGAGGGAGGTTATTTGTGATCATGGTCATCTGAGCGTCAGCAAGATAAATCCCCCCCCATGGAGTCCAGACACTGGTGGAGGTGGCTGATGACTCTGGCTGATGACTGACGAGGCGCATGGAGGCTGCATCTGAGAGGACTACATGTAGGTGGTGATGGGGAGGTGGAGGGTTACGCACAGCAGCAGCATGACAGGACTGTGGAACCATATTTAAAATGAGGAGCAGTGAGATAATGAGCTGACAGAGAAGATGTGTCACGATGTGCTATTGGCTGATTGTGGATCAGCTGTAGAACAGCTGATGACTGGATTGACAGATCCCTAACACTGACAGCCAGAGACACAGTGTGAGCATGTGTGCAAGGAGTGAAATTCAGGGTGAGGAAGAAAGTTGCAGCCTGAGCATGAAAAAGTTGTCGTCTTCCTGACTGAACTTTCGCTACAGCTTCATTTAATACTTGTGTCCTTTTGTTGTGGATTGTATTTATGATTACTTTATTCAATGAAGCAATTAATATTTATTTCTGTTATCACTAATCGACTGGTCATCAGTCACCTGAATGTGCTGTCATCCATCTCTGCAACTTCTGACAGTCGATGTGACGTATCGTCCCCTGTGCAGAGGATTGTGGGTCAGAAAAGACAGAAATCAGACAGATGTAGTAGAACATCCTGGTATTTTTGACACACTGTATTAGAAAATACTAAATCTTTTTCTAGTGTACTAGAGCTTCCTTATTAAGGGTAAACCAAAGCTTCATTTTCACTGTTCAATATTCAAATTAAATGCGGAAGCTTTAAAAAAGGTCCAGTTTTGTGTGTGTGTCTCTTGGTGTGAAGGAACAAGTTAAATTTGCTTTTTATTGACCTATAGCCTGACTGATGATGTAACTTATAATGTTTGATATATATATATATTTTGTTAAAGATGCCTTTTTATTCTTCCTATTATTTATCTTTCCTCTTTCTTCAGCTAACCCAGACACGTTACTAATGGACTGCTACACCAGCAGACACCATTGAAACTAACACAATAGTCTAACCCCCTCTGACTTCCTCTGTTTTAACCTCTGTGATCTCCTCTGTGTTCCAGCGGGCAGTTTGCCATCGTGAAACAATGCAGGGAGAAAAGCACCGGTCTGGAATTTGCCGCCAAGTTCATCAAGAAGCGTCAGAGCATGGCGAGCTCTCGAGGAGTGCGGCGGGAGGAGATAGAGCGGGAGGTGGACATCCTGCAGAAGATCGAGCACCCCAACATCGTTACGCTGCACGACGTCTACGAGAACCGGACGGACGTGGTGCTGATCCTGGAGCTGTGAGTGACAGACCATCAGTTCATCATGAAGTCAGGGAGCTGTTAATAGAGTATCGGATGTTTAATCATAGCTTATAAAGCTTCTTTATAACCGTCTGTGTCCTTTGGGTGATTTCAGGTTGGTGAGTCATTACAAACTCATGCTGGGCTGGAAATAATGATAACTTTATTTGTAAAGCACTTACCTGAACAAGGTACAAAGTGCTTCACAGAGTGCATGAAAATAAAAGACAACAATACAATAATTTAAAAAGAAAAACAGTATGTTCAGAGGCAAAAACAGAACAAAAGAAAATAAATCACAAAAGTACAAATCAGCATTAAAATGGAAACTTTCCTGTAAAAATATGTTTAAGCAGTGATTCAAAAACAGGTAATGTGTCAGCCAGTCTGATCTCCTCAGGCAGAGAGTTCCAGAGCCTCGGGGCCTCGATGGCTAAAGACCTGTCACCTTTAGTTACCAGTGGTGTGACTTGGAGCATAGGTCGTCAGAAGCTCAGCTGTATGAGTGGGGGCTTAACCATGTTGAGTTATTAAAAGAATCTTACAATCAATTGTGAGTTCTCCACAGTGTCACTCTGCACTGATGTGGTGAGTGCAGACAGTGGGATGATGTGTGTGTGTGTGTGTGTTTCAGGGTCTCTGGAGGGGAGCTGTTTGACTTCCTGGCACAGAAGGAGTCTCTGAGTGAGGAGGAGGCCACTCAGTTCATCAAGCAGATCCTGGAGGGAGTCAACTATCTCCACGCCAGGAAGATCGCCCACTTTGACCTCAAGGTTTGTCCAGACTACGTGAACTGTAGGAAACACTGTCACATAACAAGATGATTCATTTTACCTTGGTTTACTTTTCAATCAGTCAGCAGAATAAATGTTGTCACTGTAGGTTTCTACAAACACATTTACACATTATCATGTAGCAGAGACATTTAAACGTAACGTTTCATCAGCACTGTGGTTAATGTGTGGTTAAGTTCAGGCACAAAAACCACCTGGTCATAGTTTGGGAAAGATCATGTTTTGATTTAAATTGTTTATTGTTTATTACATGAATCCACATTAGCTGACGCCTTGGCGACCGCTAGGCTTCCTGGGGTTCATAAAAGACATGAAACATAACAGATATAAATATAATGGACAAAAACATAATACAAAATACAAACAGACATAAAACTAATACATACAGTCATGTAAAAACCTTGCATGAGTCATGCTATTAAAATTATACATTCATGTATACCTAACAAGAGTTATACAGTCAAGACAGCAAATTCATTTAATTATGGCATCAGTGTCAACAGTATACATTTATATTTAATCATTTCATTGGAAAGAAGAGGAAAAGATAAACCAGAACAAAAGTCAAATCATTTTAACTTTCAGTCGTATGGTTGGCGGCATTAGGTGTGTCTTAAGTAGTTTTTTCAATGACAATTTATTTTGAGATATGTAAGGTGTATGTCAATTGCCTGGTTTGGGGAACCATCCCTGCTGGACACACATTGTTGTCTCAGTACAATACAGCTGCTTTTCATGCCACTTTTCACGACAGGAAACACAGCGATGACCCGCTAAAACACAACCAGTTTTGTTGTTCGTTGGTGCTGAACAGTAGCCTTCAGCTGAAATGTAATGTAGTCATTGTTTGCAGAAACGAACAATGCCAACATTTTCTTCGGCCAACTGGGCTGGTTTATTTATGTTTTGGTAAAGGTGTCATCTTCACAGTGATAATGGATTAAAACATATGGTTTTTGAAACAGTCTCACCACAGCGTGCACAGTAGCAGTGCTGGACTTTATAATCATTTAATATGATCATCATCAGGTGGAGTTTGTCCAGTTGGAGATGTTCAAGGTCTATTTTTTTAACACTTTAAAGAGTTTTTGTTCATGTTAGACAAAAAAACAATAAGAAAATGTCTTATTATTATTACCTATATTACTTATTTTGCAAAGAAATGTGTGGATTTTTTTTTTTTTTTTGTGAAGACATTTTTGCCTTTATTTGGCAGGACAGATATAATGTGACAGGTGGAGAGGGGGGATGACATGCAGCAAGGGGCTGTGGGTTGGAATTGAACCCACAGCTGCTGCAGCAAAGACACAGCCTTTTTGTACAAGAGGTGCTCGCTCCACCAGGTGAGCTCATGGGCACCTGAAGGAATTGTGTTTTGTGGAAAATGCTGCTCTAACATTTATATTATTCCTCAATAGATTATCAAAGTTTTTACATTTTAGCTGTTAACTGTAGAGAGATAAAACGCTGGGTTAATTCTTTAGGATTTTTGACCCCTTCACATTTGTCACATTTTAATTTGTAAGTCAGGTGTGTGTGAACTCTGCGACTTAGCAAACTTCATCTGCTGATGAGAACCATGTGCTCCAAAGCCCCAGAGCAGCTACTAAATGGACCAGATGGTGAGATTATTTTCTGCTGTTCTGTGGAGTGGAGGGCGGATATTTAATGTTTGACCAGTTCAGTGACTGGAACCATTTCACTGTCTCACTGGTCTCAGCAGGTGTTTAGTGTAATATGAGGGTGGTTTGTTCCAGTAGGTGGAGCAGTTTGCTGTGTCTGACATTAATAGCTGGAGCCAGGGACATCATGAGGGAAACAATATAAGACTTGATGTCATTTATATTTTGTTAAAGACGCAGATGGTTCTCACACAGTTTCACCCCCTAAACACCCCCCCCCCTCTCTCTCTCTCTCCCTCCCTCCCTCCCTCTCTCTCTGTGGTTGAGCTCCAGTGATAGGCTGTTAATGCAGGCGGTGTATGAGTCTATCTCACCATCTGCAGTAGTGGAGCTAGTTTCTCTCCTCTCTCGCC